CCCCGCCTGCTCAGCCCGTGCTCTGTCCACTCCCAGGCCTGCGCCTTCCGCCTCAGCAGACTCCTTGCTGGGGAATCTGCTGCCCGGGTGTGCTTCCGCGCTTGCACGGGTGCTTTTACTCCCTGCAACACCCCCAGTGCATCCAACCGTTTCTGCGTCCTGTTTCTCTTTTCAGATTGGTCACATTAGACTTCCTTTGCTTGACCCTTCCCCGTGTCCATTCTCCCTGCCCTGGCAGCTAGCATGCTGAATTCTGATTTTTATTTTGTTTCCTTGCACCCTGACTGTGAGCCCCTGGCCAACAGGGACAGACTCTTCTAATCTGTTCACTCCAGGGGCCCAGTTTAGTGCTTAAGTGCATGGTAGGAGCTCAGTAGTGATTATCGCATTTAATTTAATGTAGATGAATTAAAGTAAATTCTGAATAGACTTGGAGTCGAAGTACATACACTTTATTTCTAAAACCCTTCTTTATTTTACCATGTAATCTTTCTAAACTAAGTTGAGATTCTTACATAAATATCTAACTATTGGTACTTAGAACTTATTTTTATTTGGAACATATTTCTTTATTTCTACAATCTCTTCAATTCCTATCTGAAAATCCCTAAGATCTAATGTGGTTTGTTTTGAATATTAATATTTCCAGCATTACGTTATGTCTCTTGTTTATCACTTACTTGAACTTTCCCTCTAGGAAAATAATTATCTTGTTAAATTATCTCAATACCATTTTTTAGACTCCTAAAATTGAGTTATTATAACATAAAATTAAATATTTCTTTCCTTTTTTAAAAATCCTGTAGCTTTTTGAAAGATTACCAAGTTATTTTGACCTTCAGAGGAGGCTGATGCTTCTAGAAGACCAAATAAGCCATCTTCTGGGTGACATACAGGTTGTTTATATCGAAGAACTGCAGCCAGTGCTGACACTTGAGGAGTATTACTCTCTGCTCAACGTGTTCTATAACCGACTGTTGAAAAACAGAATACCCTTCCACCCTCGCAGTCTGCGTGGGTTACAAATGATCCTCAACAGGTAAACTCCTGAAACAAGGACATTTCTTTATTCACATAGATTACATTGCTTTGGATCTCAGTGTGTGGTTCCTAGGAGTTAAAGAAAAGAATGTCACTGCATCAGTTAGCGACACTCTTTTACACATTATAAAAGCCAGCGTGAGAGAACTGAAGGGTTGAACCTCTACACATTCTGTAAATATATCGCCACTTACAGGGTAGAGTTGATCCTGTGCAAAACTTGGCAGGATTCAACTAATGTTAAATCAGTAGCCAACATTTTTGGTGCATGTACTACGTACATTGTTTTCCAGGCACTGTGCTTAGAGCGTAAATGCATTATCTCTTCACTGTGAGTTGGGTTACTATCCCCATTTCACAGATGGGGAAGATCTGGAGCCAGGAAGTATGTGGTCATCCTGATAAAGTGAGCCTCACCCTAGTTAGCTTGACTCAGTGGTTAGAGCTTCGGCCTGCGGACTGAAGGGTCCCCTGTTTGATTCTGGCCAAGGACATGATCCCCAATCCCAGTCAGGGCACGTGTAGGAGACAAGCAATCAATGTGACACTCTCACATCAATGTGTCCCTCACCCTGCCCCGGAAAAGCAGTGGAAAAAATATCTTTGGGTGAAAATTTAAAAAAAATGTGAGCCTCTTTGGACACAGCAGAACTTTAAGTCAGTCAGGCTCTACTTTTAGGGTGGATTTCCCTGATGAATCCTCCATTAATCAGATTCATGAAATGTTTTCTTTGGGGTACAGTGGGGGATGGAAGGAATTGATGGGTTTTGCTTTCACATGTGTCATTCCAGTGACAGATACGCTCCCAGCTTGCATGAACTCGGGCATTTTAACATCCCCACGCTCTGCGACCCAGCCAACCTGCAGTGGTTTATTCTCACCAGAGCCCAGCAGGCGAGAGAGAACATGAAGAGGAAAGATGAGTGAGTGCCGTCAGTCCCTGTAAGGTCTTACCACTCAGTCTAACCTAAAATTCAGGTATTCAGACTGATAAGTGTGGGACAGTCACATTCCTTATCTCAGGAAGTTCACCGATGGAGGACGCTCCATATTTACTTATTGCCACCTTGTTCTGCCCGGGAGCAGCTGTCGCTGTTTTCTAAGAACCTAAATTCCATTACCTCTGCAATAGAAGTGTGCAACAATAAAAGAATGGTTAATAGCTTTGATACTTGCATACAGTAGAAACAACAATTTAAAAGAATGTTCATTTATTCAACTAACATTTGTTGAGGGCCTTGGTGCTTAGCAGGTACTGTAAAAGTCCCTGTCAGGGTAGATGTCAAAGATAGAATGGTTAAACTTCGTGTTTAAAAAAATAGACATAATTTGTGTCAAAGGAGAGAAGAGTCAGTTCACTGGGAAATGTTGGTCCGTTTCTTAGCATTAGAAGAAAAGGGAGAGAGGCCGCCAGCCACACCACCATCTCTCGGTGCCTCCCTTTTTCTGCCTCTTTTTCATCAGTTATGAGTATAATAAAGCAAAGCAATTACAAGGAAAGGCAAAAAGCAATTTAAAAAAAATATTTTTTAAGCTAGCCTTCTACAGACAGTAGAGGCACCAGCACAGCCGCCGAGAGACCTCAGCAGGTGTGGCCCTCTCGGGACTCGAGGCCCCTCCAAGACTGCACCCTGGGGGACTGACAGGCCCCCCCACAGATCAGGGAGGCCCTGGGGTGAGACCAGAGGCTTCTCTTGGAAGCAGGAGGGATGCAGGGCCTTGCCCAGAGATGTGCAGAGATGTGTTGTTGGGGAACCTCCCGGCGACTTGGCCACACTGCACAGCCTTTAACTTCCAAGCCAGGCTGTTCAAATCTCTTTTGTAGAGCAAGTGAAAAAGCCCTTTACAGAAAAAATTTATCATCCCCTGCTGTTGATGGTACCGGAGAGTTCTAATCCTGCACAGAGTAGACATCCTCAGCCCTAACCCCGCACACCTTCTTGACTCTCTCAGCAACCTTGCCTAGGAAGAGAAACCTCACACAAAAGCAAACAGCACCTGGGAAGGTGCCCTGGATATTGTTGCAGGAAGGGATTCAGTCACTGCAGATACAGCATTAACTGCGGACCAACTACAGCGACCGTTTCTGTTTCCGAGACCTCCTAGCCTATGCATGTTTTACTCTACTTGCTCTCTCTCTATGCAGAGTTTAAGCTTGGGTAAAAGAGGGTACTTGGGTATTTGTAACCGGCACAATACTTAAGTTAGACAGGAGGCCTGACCATGGCGATGTGGCTTTACTCACCGTCTCCCGAGGGCTTCCCCAGTGATGTTCACTTGTGAGGGTGTGGGGAGCGGAGTCCTCTCTCACTGTTGCCATTTGGGGATTGAATCACTTACTACATCCCATCCATAAGCACTTGCCACCTGTGGGAGGAAGAATGGAAGACACTGAGCTCTTTCTGCCTTGAGTCATTTACTTTCTAGGCCTTAACTGTAGCCCTTGATGGGGCAGAGCCATTGTAGCCTCAGGCGAAGGGAAGGGCGCACTGGACCTTAGAAGAGTGAGGGTGAAGAGGGCCAGGCCTCAGGTGCCTGGATTGTTGTGAGCTGCTGTTTATTGGGGAACCTCTAGAAGTCATTACTGCCCAGAGGTCAAACTTGAGGTGTTGTACACACTCAGCTTTCTGCTTCCTTCAGTGGCTACCAGCTGCCAGGCGAGGCAGGATAAGAGCATTTTAAATTATGTATTAATTTACTTTTACCCCATTACTGCCACAGAGATTTAACACATACTTTTAGAGATACATGTGAAAATAACAGGTACTGCATGACAACCACTGGTGTGTCTGTTGTGAGTAGAAAGGGATAGTTGCAGTCTCTAAAAATATTTACATTTTATGCTCTTTTATTTGCTTGTGGCAATATTACTTTTGTTTTCGCTATAACAGGTTAAAGGTTATGGAAAATGAGTTGATTCAGGCTTCAACGAAGAAATTTTCCCTGGAGAAGTTTTACAAGGAGCCCAGCGTGTCTAGTAGACAGATGGTGGATTGCTGCAAGAGACTTCTGGAGCAATCACTGCCTTACCTACAGGGGATGCACCTCTGCGTCTCACATTTTTACTCCGTGATGCAAGATGGAGACCTCTGCATCCCTTGGAATTGGAAAAATGGAGAAGCCATGAAATAGCACAGAAGTCCATATTATTTTTTTAAAGAGAGAAGAAAGAAACTGTTAAATTAAACTTACTTAAATCCACAGTTTGCTAAAACAGTATTATTTACCTACTCCAAGAACAAAGTTTCTAACTGCTGCTTTGAAAGTAGAGCTATTTTTAAAAAATAATTGCTGCTGGGAAACTTGTTTTAAAAAGGTTTTCTTTCACTCCCCATCTTATGCTGTTTCTTATCTGACTGGCAAGACCAGGCAAAAAGCTGTTGGGATGAAAGACCGTATTTGTGGTATGTGAGGGATTGTACAGAGTTACAAATCTATATTTTTATATGAGTGAATGTGGGTGAGTACGCAACCCAATTCAACATGCAACTTCATAGTCACATCCCCTTGATCAGTACATGTACTATGCAGCCAGTATGGACAGTTGATGTCCAGAACAGAACATTGACGGGTAGCAAAAGCTGCATAACCGGACTTTGCCCAACAGAAAGAATGGAAGGAAAAAAGCCATTGACTGAGTATTTGGTATTGAGCATCTTCAGTGACAGAGAATTTAGTTTTAAACCATAAGTTTTCCTTCCCATTGAAATAGTGAAACCGTAGCATAAAACCAACAAACAGTGAATTTTTCTGAATCATTTAATGAGGTAACTCATTTGTTGCCGGGGAAAACACTACCCAGAAAAATTCTTGTTTCCCAAAGAGTCCCAGCCATTCAGGATTCTCACCCCTCCCACCAGTGTTTGGAATGCTATTTCGACCACCGAGCCACCCCTGTAAACACAGGGCTTCTGTCTCTGCAGATATTTTTCTTAGGATATTCTTCACCAGATCCAAGACCTCTTCATTGTTTCTCAAGAGCACAAGGTGAGTCCTGGCTTGCGGCACCATTTTTGTGGCCCTTGCTGCTGAAGAAGTGAGGAATTTTTCCCCACAGTGCGTTAGAAAAGAAAGACGTTTAAAACCGTTCTCGAAGTATGTTTTAAATTAATCTGAAACACTGGTTATTTAAACTGGTTAAATGTGTTTTCAAAAGAAATACTGGTTTGTAGTTATTACAGCATGTGCATCATCCCTTCTCACATGTACTTACATTTTCTTCTAATGTAACAGTGTTTCCAGAGCCAAATGATGGCAGAGAAAAGGTCCTTAAAGGTTACTTAAGAAAATTTATTGGAAAAGTAGGTTTGGATTATGTCATTTCTAAAATCATTAGTATGTTTTGAATTGGACTTTGTCTCAGAACTAATTGTTACGTAATAAATAATATATTAATCAGAGCATTTTCTCTCTTTATTCAGTTATTAATAGTTTTACAGCTATTTCATCGTAGGAACGTACAGAAAATTGATGGGCTGTACATGCCTGTTTGACTTCCTCGTAGAAGAGAAAATTCTGTCCCAGCTTTGAAAACTGCCCAGGATCAGGCCCGTCTAAGCACAAATCCTCAGGTCAGAAAGCGGCCCCCGGGAGACCTGAGCTCCAGACCCACTTTCGGGGCTCTGCGCGAGTGGATGCCCAGAGTGGATTCCGAGCGCGCGCGAGGTGGGCTCTCGGCAGAGGGCGCTAGAGGGACACCCCGGGAAGGGGCCCGCCTGCGCCCGCGCCTGCTCTGGGTGGGAAGCACCGTGTCGTCGCGTCGTGGAAGCCGGCTCCAGCCGAGGGCTCCCAGCCGTGGGCTCCGCGCCTGGCCCTGGCTCGCCCCGTGGCCCTTTAGACGCCGAGAGGATGCTCGGACTTCCTCTGCTTGTCCCCAGGCCCGACCTTCGGCTGGCCCCCGGTACCCGCTTGTGCCCCCGAGGGTTGGCCGCCCAGCCCACTCCGCCGCCAGGGGCAGGGCCACGCCTTTCAGTGAGGCCTGAACACCAGTCCTCGAGGGGACCCTGCCAAGCCTTTTTCCTTGGGGGCTCCCCCAGCCCTCGTGTGCCATGTAGTCTCATTACATCTGATAGGCCCAGACTCCTAAAATCCTTGGAATTTCCAAGTAATGGGAGGCTCAGGGGTGCCTTTTGTCATGTTGGTGGGGTGACTTTTGGGCCCCCACCTAAGTGCGGGGACTGGTTGGTTGACCGAGGGCCCAACCTTGTAAGTGGGTCCTCCAGCCGCGGGGGACACGGGAGGGGCTGGAGGTTGAAACACTCGCCAATGGCCAGTGATCTCGTGCAGCTGCCGGGAAACCGGAGCAGAGCCTCGGGCAGGCGGGGGTCGCAGCGAGCGGAGCCCGAGCCGGGGAGCCCCCGCCCGCCCCGGGCTCGCTCCACCGGCTGCCCAGACTCCCGTCCTCACAGGAACCGGCGACGCGGCAAGTAAAGTGTCCCTGACTCCCGGGAGCCGCTCTAGCAAGCGAGTGGGACCCGAGGAGGGGGCGTGGGAACCTCTCCCGGCCCTGGGGGAGGGGGTCGGAAGCCCGGAACAGCCTGGGCTCCGTCCCGGTCCCGGTCCCGGTCCCGGTCCCGCCTCAGCCAAGGAGGCCCCCTGGCTCCGGTGGGGGCTGAGCAGGTCGCCGGGCACCCACATTGGAACCGGATTATTGAACCCCAAAGAGCTGAGAGTCAAACACCAAGTCGGCGGGGAGGCAAAGGAAGCCTAGCAAACGCCGCGTCAGAATCGCAGGTGCATCTTTATGGAGCCTGAGCGCGCGGCGCATCCGTAAGAATCTGGCAGAGGCAGGCGCGGGGCCTCCCGCACACCCGGCGCGTCGGAGGCAGGCCGCGCGGGGCCCGGGAAGGGGCTTAAGGGGCGCGGCCGGGCCAGTACGCTCAGTTCAAAAGGAAAATCGGTTATTCCCAGTGAGGACGTTTCTCAGCTTGCAGGTGTAGGCCCAGAAGACAGAAGGGCAGGAGGGAAAGGCGGAGGCTGGGGCTGCAGGGGCCGGACTCAGGGGGCGGAATAGTGGCGCAGCGCCTCCTGCTGGTGGGGGGGCGGCCGGAGTCGCTGAGAACGGGGAGGGGCTCCTGGGTCCAGCTCTAACCAGGTGGTGGGTCAGTGTAGACGGGAGGGGGTTTCTTGCGCCTCTGTATCTCAGTGACGCCATAGGAGGGGACGGAGAGTCAGGCTTCCATGCAGGGGAGCTGGCCCGGCCCTGGGCACTGGGGGGGGCCCCCTGCATGCTCCCACGCTGACACACGGGGGTCTCTTGGGGCTTCTCGAAAGGAGCTCCAGGCACATCTGCCTTCAGCGGGGGGTAGGTGACTTCTCCAGTTATCTCGTTTACCCAGAAAAACGTATCGAGAGGTTTCTTCCTCTGTTCAAAGTGACTCGTAGACATAGCTACAGGGAGAAGACGAGACAGCACAGGTGCACCTTCAGTGGGCCCGTGAGGGGAGGCGCCGCCTGCACGAGCCAGGCAGGGAGCCCCCGACCCCGCTCCTGCCACCCACCCTGCTCGGGGGCCCCTCGGGGACACCCTCCCAGAGGCTCCAAAGATCTTCCCAGGCCCAGGCGCACGCCTCACTAGAGGCTCCAGATGAATTCTAGGGTCTTAATATCTTTACAAGTTTTTAAATATTAACCAAGTACACTAAGAAGTATACTTTACATCTGGAACCTACTTCAGGTGGGGGGGGGTGTACTAAGTTTCATGGAGCATGTGCAGCATCTTCTATGTAATTATCCATGCAATTCAATTCTGTATCCCTTAAGAAAATGCTGGTTGCCAGTCCTTAAACTCATTTTGTAAAGGAAGCAACGATTAATGAGCTACAGCTGGAAAAACCCTTTCTTAGAGTAAGAGAGTGGAGAATGCTGGATGTTCTTGGCAAATAAATAAATAAATCACTCTTGTAAATTTTACAAAACCACAACCATGTGCGGTCAGCAGAATGGTCCCCCAAAGATGGCCATGCCCCAATGCTTGGTACCTGTGAATGTTTCATTCCACGGCAAAGCGACTTTGCAGATGTAATTAAAATCACAGATCTTAAACTAGGGACATTACCCTGTGTAGTCTGGGTGCCCCAGTCTAACCACTTGAGCCCTGGAAAGCAGAGCGCTTTCCCCGGCTGGGGCAGAGGCGCAGCGGAAGGAGGGAGGGGTTCCAAGTGCGAGGAGGCCTCCCTGCCATTGCTGGCTCGGTGATGGCGGCCGAGTGCAAGCCTCGGGAAGGAAATAAGTTCTGTCGACAAAATAAATGAGCCTGGGAGAGGGTTTTCCCCAGAGCCTCCCGATAAGAGCTCGGGGTGGACAAAACGTTAATGTTTGTCGTATGAGACCCTAAGCAGAGCACCGAGCCACCCTCGCCCGGCTGGGGACCTACAACTCTGGGAGGTGAGTGGCTCCTGTTCCAAGCAGCTGTGTGTGGTCCTGAGTTACAGCAGCAACAGGAAACTCACCCACCACGTGAACACTGTTGCAGGACCAGCGCCAGACGTGGCTGCAAAGCTGCAGCGTCCTGAGTTCAGGGTGAGCCCACCTTTGGTGGGGGCCGAATAGCAGGGCTGGGGACTCATCCTATTTTGTCATGCTTGATACTTTCTTCACCTTCTTTAGAAAGGACAGTGACTGTTACCCCTGAGAAATGTCAAGGCACACTTCCTAGGCCATCAACCAGCCTTCAAGGTCCAGACACCTGCATCCTACGCAAAGTTCCAAGTTGCCCTCGGGCAGAGGGTTTGCCCGCCATCCCTTGGTGGTCCCCAAGGTCACAGGCAAGTCAGCACATCCTTCAGGGATGCCCAGAGCCAGGGTGGCTGATAGCAAGGGCACAGTGGGTTCAACAGGTGGCCGGAGTTGGGGGACTGGAAAGGTATGAAGCATTTGAAGCTCACCTGTCTGAGGTCTGCCGAGGAGTCATCAGAGGGAGCTTCGAGGGGGAGGAGCCTTGGAAGACTGGGGGCTCCTAGCAACCTGATCTTTATTGTGTCAGGTGTTTCCCAGCCTATCCCAGCCGAGACTCTGCCTGGTGCAGGAAGCAGCCACGACTCTAAACATGTGGGTCAGACACGACACCCCCGAGTGTGGGAAACACCCTCCGCTCAACGTGGCCAAGGTGAACCGTTTTCCAAAATTCCATACTTTGTCTTGTTTCCAATATTTATGTTCTGAATGTTTTAAAGGGCCACAAGAGACACTTTTACATGAGATTTGCTGGCTCATATGGTAACTAACATTTTGGGGAACAGCCAGGATATTTTCCCAGGGGCTGCCCTTGAGTCTAAGATAATCCTTAGGCTCTTCTTGGACTTTCATTAAGTTTGAGTTCATTACAGCAAGATCGGGTCATATTCAACAGCTAAGTACCAGGTCAATGTGTGAAATCAGCTGCTTATGACATTAACTCGCACCTCTGAGTGACCAGTTGTCCATAATTTAACACAATTTCTTTAACAAATATTACTGGTTTAAAGTTTTGAGTCAAACGTCCTAGGAATTTCTAAAATAAACAATTCGGGGAAGCTGTGCCCGTTATCAGCTCATTCTCTCTACTTCACCCCTCCACAGATGCCCATGATGATGGAGCTGGAGCCCCGCAACCCGTCTCCGCTCCGCCAGCTGGCTTCCGACAGGCTCTGCCATCAAGGAATTTAAGGGGGAAGCTGCAATGCCAGAGTGTAATGATTAATTTTGTGTCAACTCGCCTGGGGCCAGGGTGTGGAGGAGGGGGTGACAGCTGCTGGACCTGGGCCATCAAGGGGATTGACTGCTTTCACCACCACCCCCCACCCCCCTGAAGAAACTGCCTGATGGCCATTGTTTGCCTGACATTAACCAGCACCCCTCCCCTGCCTCCTGGAATGTGCTGGGTCTGGAAAACATTCCAGTTGTCCTGACCTGGTCAAGCATGCAAAGCAATTTCCCGGATCTGGAAACAGCTCCACATTAGTCCGTGTGACTGTTCTCTCTCCCCCCTTCTTTCTGCTCCATGTAGTTCTCTGGTGCCAGCCAAGCAGTGCGGGGACTCACTTCATCTTGCTACTACCCAAGGCGTGCTGCGAATCCAAGTTTCCCTTAAAAATAACCCTTACCAGTTATTAGACTGGACTGGTGTGCCCTGACCTCTATTTGCAGAGGTAGATCTTCATTCTCAGGGCCTTTCCCTGGGTCTGCATGTCCTAATACGCGGGGTACCCAGCTATTTGGTCAAACATTATTCTGGGTTTTTCTGTGCAGCTGTTTTTTGGATGGGATTAACATTTAAATTGGTGGACTGTGCATAAAGCAGATTACTCTCCATAATGTGGGTGGGCCTCACCTAATCAGTTGAAGGCCTGGATAGACCAAAAAGACTGGCCTCCCCAGGCAAGAAAGGATTCTCTGCAGGCAGCCAACGGATTTCGTCTGCAACACCGGCTCTTCCTGGGTCTCCAGCAGCCAGCCTTCGGGCTGGAACTGGAGCACGGGCTCTCCTGAGTCTCCAGCCTGCAGGCCCACCCTGCAGATTTTGGACTTGCCAGGCTCCCTAATCACAAGCCAATTCCTTATCATGAATCTCTTCCTATATGTGCACATACATCCCATTGACGCTGCTTCTCTGGAGAATCCCAATACGAGGAGCAAGAGGAGCCCTTTCCTTCCTGTTTTTTGCGGGCACCGGTTCCTGTTCCCAAGGCTCCTCCCCCAGCAGTGGCAGCTTCTCTGGTGGCAGCAGTTGAGTCCAGCTTGCAGACTGACCAGCACGGGGCCCGTCTGGAGCGCGGACACTGCACCAGCCCGTGCTCTCCTCATAGGTCTGCACTCGGCCCACAGGGCTTCTCTTCTGATGTCTTGCCTTTGGACAATTCCAACCACTTCTCTTTGTTCCCGCTTCGTAACTTGCACTGTAGAGGTGGGATCGATACTGTCGCCACCCCAAACTTGTCCTGACGTCAAGACTAATGACATCACACACATAACAGGTGACAGGAAAGTTCATTATTCACGTAATGAGGCTCCCTGGAGACAGGGCAGGCGCCCGGGCCAGCTGGTTTGCCTGGACAGGAGGGGGGAGCGGCTCTAGTTTTTACTGTGGCTAGGGCTGAGGGGTCCAGTGCAACGAAAACTGCCAGGGTTTGCCTCAGTTTCCTCTCCGGGGCTCAGGAGGAGAGCCTGGCCTGGCCGTCAGGTCAGCTTGCCCAGATGTGAGGAAGAACCGGCTAGAAAGTTCAAGTTATCATCAGCGGTCAAACATCAAGAATGGGGTCAGCCTCGTATTGCAGCTCACCGTCGGGGGGGGGCTGCTGCTTTACCGCCTCCTGGATACCTTCACGTTTTCTCTTTGCCTTTTTACTCAGAGGTATCTAGTGAAGAATTCTTCATAAAGTTCTTACTAAAATAAGTGGCATGGTTTCTGGTTTCCAGGTCCTGACAAGAACCTGGCTGATACAAAACTTCTTTCCTCTTCTCGGCAAGGTCAGCACGAAGGCCAACGCTGTGGTAGTTGGTACCTGCACATTCACGACCCTTCCTCGCCTAAGAGGGCACAGGAACGACTAAGCACCGCCGCCCACAGAGGCCACCTCATCGTCAGACTCGCGTCTGCAGCTCCTGCCTTTACCTGGCATCACTGGGAAGGAGGAACTCAGGGAGGCAGCTTANCCCACAGAGGCCACCTCATCGTCAGACTCGCGTCTGCAGCTCCTGCCTTTACCTGGCATCACTGGGAAGGAGGAACTCAGGGAGGAAGCTTATCCTCTCCTCCAACCGCCCGTCCTGGAGATGGCGCCTACGGGGGGAGATGGTGCCTACGGGGGGAGATGGCGCCTACGGGGGGAGATGGCGCCTACGGGGGGAGATCGCATCTACAGGGGGAGATCGCATCTACAGGGGGAGATCGCGCCTACGGGGGGAGATCGCTCCTACAAGGGGCGCGCGCCCTTAACCGCTGCTGGCGCTCCGTCTAGGTGAGCAAACCCGGTCTCCGTTCCCTTCCTAAGGACCACCTGTGTTGCTCCTGATTTTTGCAGGTGAGGAACCTGAAACCTGGTGAGATTAAGTGATCATTCTGAGTAATACCACATAAAGGGCAGAGCGAGGATTTCTAGAAACTCAGAAAACATCAGAGCCCATACTTTAAAAACTTTTTATTTTTAAGTATTTTAAGCAAATAGTTTTAAAAAAGAACCCACTGCACTGTGCTGTTAAATCAACATGCTGACCCACCTACATCTATTTTAAAAAAGAAAACACAAGTGAAGCCTCCAGTTACCNTCTACGGGGGGAGATCGCATCTACAGGGGGAGATCGCGCCTACGGGGGGAGATCGCTCCTACAAGGGGCGCGCGCCCTTAACCGCTGCTGGCGCTCCGTCTAGGTGAGCAAACCCGGTCTCCGTTCCCTTCCTAAGGACCACCTGTGTTGCTCCTGATTTTTGCAGGTGAGGAACCTGAAACCTGGTGAGATTAAGTGATCATTCTGAGTAATACCACATAAAGGGCAGAGCGAGGATTTCTAGAAACTCAGAAAACATCAGAGCCCATACTTTAAAAACTTTTTATTTTTAAGTATTTTAAGCAAATAGTTTTAAAAAAGAACCCACTGCACTGTGCTGTTAAATCAACATGCTGACCCACCTACATCTATTTTAAAAAAGAAAACACAAGTGAAGCCTCCAGTTACCGATTTCATCAGCAACTCCTGCCCAGGCGGGCAGAGCAGGACTTTAACACTTCGTTCCAATACATGATTTTATACTCTGAATTCATATAATTTGCATCCACAGGAAATATATTATTGTGCAAAATGGTAACAACACGGTGTACTATATGCCAGCAATGCTCCCACTCCTGCCGCTGTCCTAATCACTTTACATACATTATTTCATTAACCATCCCCACCCCCAGGCACCCTGTGAGGTTAAAAAGTGAGAGGTTTAAGTAAGGTACCCCAGATACAGTGTTGACTTTGCAGAAAGGGTCCCCGTCTGTAGCTCCCGCCACTTCCTCAGCAATTTGATTCATCTGTGAAAGATGCAACTCTTGCTCTCTCACATTCGCTTCCCAAAGTACCGGAAACCACCTACGTATTTCTCTGTTCTGCTGATGAGAATGTAGGCTTTACCCAATCTTGCTATTTTAGCAATACTGCAACGAACAATATCACGATGCCCAGTCTTAAAGCATCTCCTTCGTTGCAAGGCGTTACTCTGTGGCTCATCCAGGAGCAGAATTACTGGGTGACAGAGTACACACAACTTTACGAGATTTTGCAAATTGCTTTGCACAATCATCACAATTTCCACTCCCACAGCACTGAGTTGCCAGTGGTCCACACACCCACACCAGGGCTTTTAAAAAGCTGCCAACGTGATGAGTGTGAGATGTTCCATACTAATTCACATCTCCTGTGCTTGCTTCTCTGCACGTGCCTGGGCTGCCCGTGTGCTCAACAAGGGTGGGGCTGACCACGCCAGACGGCCGAATAAAAGACCTTCAGACGCTCTGCTCTCGGTGGAGTCCCTGCCCACCTGGCTCTCTTCAGCCCCAACTTCAGTCCTCGCTGGGGAGTGAGAAGACGGGGCAGGGTTGGAAAATTGGGTGTGTCCTCCAGGGCAGAGTTGGGTTTGAGATGAGAACTGGGGCAGTGGGAAACTGTCAACCTGTGCCCTAGGGCTTGGAACCACGCAGAGCCAGGCTCCTTTTGGGCAGGAGCGCACCTGTGGGTAGCCTTGTCAGCATTTCACTCAAAGACCCTCTTAAAAACTTCCAATCATGACTCAACTGAACTAAATTCAGCTCTCTTCCTTAACAGGGGCAACTTAGTGCAAAATCTCCTCTGCGTGGCAAACAGATAAGCCAGCAGCAGGGACGAGGGTCAGGGAAAGCTGGGCCAGCACGGTGGGGGTGTGGCACTGCGGGTGAAGGGGACAGCACAGGGCAGTGTGCAGGGGCCAGAGGTGCTGTCACAACTGCTTACGCTGTCACAATTGCTTACGCCTGCTGAGCTGGGGGTCTTGCAGAATATTCAGAGAATATTCAGACGCTTGGCAGGTGGGGGGTTCACTCATGGAGGCTGGCAGTAGGGATAACTGCATAAAAAATTTTCAGCTATATCATTTTAGTGAGTCCTTGTGTCTGTGGTTAACTCTTGTAAAATGTAATTCACATTCAGACCACATCACTCAACTCAAATAGTCCAAAAGCAGCCCAGCCCCAGCGAGGACCCCCATGCTCACGCAGCTGAGCCCACCACCTCTCTGGGCCCCTATTCCAGCTGACTCGCCACTGTAGCCCAGAGGCCTCCAGTCACTCCGAGGAACCAGACAGGAGCCCACCTTCTGGGTGTGGTTCTAGAGACCTACAGAGCTCACTCCCTGATCTCCAGGTCTTTGCTCAAATTTCACCTTCTCAGTTGAGGCCCCTCATGACCAGCCTCCTTAAAATCACAACCCACCTCCCAATCCAGCATGTCCTCTGACTCTTCCCCGATGCATGTTGTCCACAACACCACCACCCCCAACCAAAATACTCCATGGATCTCATGTTTATCGTCTGTAAAGATCCAAGACGGCAGCTTTTGTTTGTTCTTGTCACTGCTGGGCCTCTGGTACACACACCAGTGTCCACCACGTGGGAGGAGCTCAGCACATTTCTGTTTAACAGACTGATCTCCGCTGCCCACGCACACCTGTGGGGTGGAGATGGCGACGGCACGGGAGCACTCCATCCTCCAGGTGACTAGCCCAGCGTCCTGCTCTCCTCCACTTGCCTCCCACAGCAAATATCCAAAGCCAGTTGTAGGCTGAAGGCGCAGCCAGAACTCCCTGGAAGGCATCTGGGGAGACTACGAGTTCCTGCTGCTGCTGTTGCTTATAAGGTCAAACAGAATAGGCACCAACATAGGTGAAACTCGGAGGGAAACCTAGGATCCAACCGGCCCCTTCCCAGCAGCCACAGCCCACCACACCACAGACATTTGTCAAACCAAAAGGGCTGTCTCTCCCTTTAGAGTTATGGAAGAAGATCTGGTTGGGGCAGCTCCAGGCCATGGTACAAAGGCCAATCCTGAGGGCCTGAGTCTCCAGAAGGTCACCAAAAAACGTCTCATTTCCTAGTGGGTAAAAATTAGGGGATCCTGAATTTCTGAATCCTCAGGATTCTCTGTGATTAGCTTCTAAAAGAGAAAGAGCTGGGCCCTCTCTGACGGTTTCCCCACATTGCCTACACTCAGGGTTCTCCAGCAGGACAGCCAGGAGCCCTCTCTCCCACCGTCAGGCCCCACGCTAATCATTAATGTGCATTTTCATATGCCGAGCCAAATTGGAAGCCCACCTGAAGGTGTTCCCACACTTCGTGCACTTGAAGGGCCTCTCTCGAGTATGGAATCGCTTGTGGCTAATGAGCTGCGAGGTCTTGCTAAAAGTTTTCCCACACGTGCCACATTTGTGACATTTTTTCCCTGCGGGTATGTTCTGGAGTCCGGTGGGCCTGGCGCTCTGCTCGCAAGCTTGTTCAGAAGCTTCCTGGGGCTTCTCGCCACTTGGTTTTAACTCCTGTAAACTCACCCCTTTGTCGCGGGAGGAAGGCGACTTGGCCAGGCTGCTTTCAGACGGCGCAGCCTGGGTGTGTTTTCTCAGATGGATGTTGAGGGTGTGTCTTCCGATGAAGTTTTTCCCACACCACTGGCATTTGAAAGGTTTCTCTTTGGTGTGGATTCTCTGATGATTCACCAGGCGGTAATTTCGGTCGTAAGATTTCTCGCATAGGTTACATTTGTAGCGCTTCTCTCCACTGTGGATCCCCTTGTGATCTAAGAGACTCCTTTTACGTGTAAAGCTCTTCCCACACTCTTGGCACAAGAAAGGTTTCTTCTTGCCCAGGAGGACTTCTGGCTGCACGTCTGCAGCGTCCTCGCTGTCGTGGTAGGAGTACCGTTTTCCCACAGAGTGGCTCCTCTGGTGCCGCGAGAGGTTCGAGCTCCACCGGAAGGCCTTCCCGCACTCCCGGCACTTGTAGGGCTTCTCCCCGGTGTGAACCCGCTGGTGCAGGAGGAGGACAGAGGGGTTGCGGAAGCCTTTGCCACACTGGCTGCACCGGAAGGCCGCCTCCGGGGCCGGGCTGCTCCGAGGAGCCTGGGGGACTCCATCCTGGCTGGGGGGAGGCCCGTCCTCGGGCTTTCTGCTCATGGCGTGCTGCTGCTTATGAGCGATAAAGTCTGACCTGTGCGTAAACTCTTCCGCACACTCCCTGCATCGGTACAGTCCCTCGCCCGTGTGGCTTCTCTGGTGGTTAAGGAGGGATTTCTTCTCAGTAAAAGTTTTCCCACACGGCCGACACAGGAAAGCTTCCTCCACAGGGGGCACGCTCGGGGGCTGATTGCAGCTGGGGGCCGCCCTGAAATCTTCTCCACGCCTGTGGTCTTCTCCACGCCTGTGGTCGTCTCCACGCCTGTGGTTGTCTCCACGCCTGTGGTCGTCTCTACACTTGTCACCGTCTCTACACCTGTCTGGACTATAGAATTTCTCTTCCTGGTGCATTCTCTTATGACGAGAGAAGTTGGACCTCCAACGGAAGGTTTTCCTACATTTGGTGCATTTATATGGCTTCTCCTGCGTGTGGATCCTTTGATGTTGGAGAATATATGATTTACAGTGGAAGGATTTCCTGCACTGGCTGCAGTCAAAGACCTTCTCACCGCTTTGGTCTTGCAAATGATGATCCAACCGGGAGCCATATGCTCTGAGAGCTTCCTTACACCAACTAAATTCGAGAAATTTCTGATTAGCATGGGTTTCCTGGTGCAGGCGGTAGGCATACAAGCGCTGGAAAGCTTTGTCACATGAACTGCATTTATAAGGTTTCAGGCCAGTGTGAATTCTCTCATGCCGCGCACGATTGGAGCTCCACCTGAAGGCTTTCCCACACACCCGGCATTTAAACGGTTTCTCCTGAGTGTGAAGTCTCTGATGGTGCGCAAGATGGGAGCTACGGCTAAAGGTCCTCCCACAGTCGCTGCACTTATACAACGTCCCCACCACGTGAAGACTCCGTGGGCGATGAGAACTCAGGCTGAAGTCCTTCCTGTGCACATCCTTCGCGGTCCCTTTCAGTCCAGCGTGAGTTCTCTGGGAGAGGCTAAACGAGGCCAGCATGCGTCGGAGGCCCTTCCCGTACTCCTGGTAGTCATAGCAGTACGAGCTCGCTCGGAAGAGTCGGCCGCAGCCATGCTTCCGGGATCTCTTTCTTCTGGAAACTCGCAAATATGCCACATGCTTGAGATTAAGACTATTGCCGCCTCCTGCCTCCTCCGATTCCTTTCCTGTGCTGTGACTGAAACTGCCCTCTTTTTCCTTAGCACTCAGTTGGATGGGATTTCCACATGGCTCCTGTGACATGCTCTTCTGTTCCTCAGGTACTCTGGGCTCTGTTTCCTCAGAAACACTCACCACACGACATCCTGATGACACAGCTAAGATCTGTGCTTCTTCCAAAGGTTTGGGATTTAAGATGATCTTGTTTGATTTAATCTGGAGCTCCCCTCCTGACATAAAATAAAACACAAGGGAACGCACTCTTTTTCCATACTTGCAACCGCCAAAAGCACCAACGGACAAAAAAGTGCCATGAACTTGGGTAGTATGGTTTTTGTTTGACTGCTGATACCTTTACCAAATAGTCACTAACAAAGCAAAACGTGGAAGGGTATCTGGGTGACAGAAAAGGGAGGAGGAGAAGCAAGATGGGCATTGCAGATGGACATTCGCAGGACTCACATCCAGTTAAAAAAGAAAAGGCTGAGAGGTGAGTGTCAATAGCAAGAGGGGACAGGAACCACAGTACAAACAGAGCCGGGGCTGGGACTCCAAGGAGGGCTGGCTGACAGGACTGGAGAGCAAGCCGACCACAGGGGGAAGGGCCACACAGAGAACAGGGGCAGGAGTGGAATGAGGGCTCCTAAGAGCAGGAAGGGGTAGGCTCTGGGGAGTCAACAGGGGTGCAGCCCAGAGCTGAGGACCATCAATGAACAAAACAGAGAAGGAACACTGAAGCCCTCCGGTGGGCAAGAGTGTTACTGAAAGTGCTTCTGGGGAAGGGGCAGGGCCAGAAATGAATGTCTGGTAGGCCAGTCTGGAAGGGAGAAGCCCAGGGCCTGGCATTCCTTAGCAAAACTAATAAGGACCTTCCTTCTGGCAAACAGTGGAGTAAGTTCCCCATGACTGACTTGCTGAGAAAGGCCTTAGGAGAAGAGAAGAGATGCTGGGAGAGCAGGATCTGGCAGGTTCTCTGAAACTCACCTGCAGGGGCAGCACCTGGATTCCCCTTAGGCTGAGCTGCCTCCACCTTCAGGCCCCACGGCTCCCTTGCCTCCAGCCAGGAGATCAGAGCAGGTTTGGTGAGAGGCCCCACTGCAGAAGAGAAGGGGAGGGGATGGGGTGGGAAGGTAGATGAGTCACACACAACTACCCTCTTGGGCCTGGGGTTGGGGAGGGAGGAGGGAAAGGTCAGGGAGGCAGGTGGAGGAAGCTAAGGCAGGAGGCCCAGACAGCCATTCCTAACAGCCCTGGGCAGATACAGGAGAGGCTGAGAGAAGTCACTGCCAAAAGGATCACTAGGATTCCCTGGCAGTGGGCACCACATGACAACTCAATCAGTTAAATCAGCTGACATATTTGGGATGCCTAAGGAGAAGAGGAACTTGACACACATGACTTAATCTTTACAATAAGCCAGCATGCCAGGCATTCTTACCCCCGTGTGTCAAGAGAAGGTTCTGCTTTGGTTCAAAGGTACAGAGCTGGGATGTAAACCCAGGTCAGGCCCCTTCCTATGCACCATAATGAACAGTAAGAAGGCAGCAATAAAGGTGGGCAGAGCAGGGGGAGCAATGCCTTACCCAGAGAAGCCAGGTTCCCATAGTTCTCCAGCATCACATCCCTGTAGAGGTTCCTCTGAGCAGGGTCCAGCCACCCCCACTCATCCTGGGAGAAGGTCACCTCCACATCCTTGAAAGTCAGAGCCTCCTATAAAACACAGTCCTTACCTCAGAGCCGGCCCACAGTTCCCAGCTTTCAGGAGGAGGCAGGGGAATGGGGTGGCTCTCAGTAAGGACAGGATGGACCTGGTAAGGGTGAAAGAGAAGACCACCACCCAGCAGAAGGGCTCTGGGCTCAAGGGGGATATTTCGGTCACTGGGACATGAATCTCTGGGTGTGAGGTCACTGGACACAGAGACGCAGGACACAGGAAAGCTGCAGCTGCTCCATCAGGCAGCAACACCTGGACATCACGAAAGACTGAACATCCTGTGGCTCACCTGAGGCTGGGCTGCCACCGCATCTCCTGGGCACCCCTCTCCCTGGGAAAGGGCAGGCACCTGTGCAGCAGGAGGATCTGCAGAAGAAAGAGCCATGAGAGGGGGCAGCCCACTGTTTCCCCCCCATAGAGCACTCCGGGGCCCAGGAGTGGGCATGGGCTGTTGTTAAACACCCATTTCTCATTTCCCCAGTGTGCGCTGGAGGCCAGGGAATGAGGGTGGGGGGTACAAGGGAGGAGGAGCTGGGCTAACATGGGTCACAGAACAGGTAGAAAGACACAGAGCTAAGGGCCAGGATGGAAAGGCATTCTGGTGAGAGGACAGATGGTGGAAAGAGGACACCACAGGAAGTGGGGGAACTGTGGCGAAGGCTGGGGTCGTAGTGCCAGGGGGTGAGTACCGGATTGCCCAGTCAGGAAGTCATGCACCCCTGTTTCACAGGAAGGCTCCAGGTGGTCCCCCAGAGCAGAGCCGTTCCTGGGAGGTGAAGCAGAGGGCCATATCTGCTCGGCTCGCAGGGCTCCTGTACCCATCCAACACACATCTGGGCTCTGGGCAGGTGCTGTGTCCTGGCAAGAAGAAAATGTGAGAGATCCCCATGGGAATCAGAAAGCAACCCAGAGAGGAGGCCATGCGGCCAAACTCTAAAGAGCGGAGACCAGAGAAGGGTGAGCCAGCCCTCTATTGCCTACAGGCAGAGGGGAAAGGGGAACAAAGCCCAGGGAGGGCCCTCACCACTCAGCCTCTCTGGGCTCCCCTGCTGGCCACGGCAGGGGAGAGGAAGAACTAGAGTCCAGCTCACATAAGAAAGTGCCTGGCACCCAGCCGGTGGGGCTCAGTGGTTGAGCCCTGACCTATGAACCAGGAGGTCACGGTTTGATTCCCCATCAGCGCACACACCAATAAGAACATGTAAAAAAAAACACACAAAAACAAAGCCCACAAATATGATAAATGCTATTTTTAAAACTGAGAAGCTCGCCTGTGGGGGCAGGAGAGGCAGAGTGCACTTGAACTGACCTGCTGCTCTGCTGCAGGCACTGGGACAGCCAGCTCCGCTTCCAGCACCAAGGCCAGGGCCAAGCCCAAGGTAGGCACTCATCAAATGCATACTGAACAACTGCTCATTGTTAGGTCAGTTTTGCATTTTCTTTTCAATAAACTGAGGCTCTGAAAGGGACAACGTGGCCAAGAACACTGAGGTCGTTCAGTGTGGAATGAAGTCTCATCCCTGCACAGAACAAATCCTCAAAGGCTTACTGAGAAAAAGCAGATTGGTGCACAGAGACTGCTCTTCTAGGTCTTATTGTGCCGAGGGGCCACGAGTCCCCCTTACAAGCAAGAGACATCACCCTACCTTACAGTCAGCATCAGGTCCAATAAGATAAGATGTGGAGACAGCCTCTATATAAACTAAGTCACTGTGTCTAAAAACGTGTCATTGTTAGTTAAGGATCCTTGCGAACCCCCTTCCTGCAGCAATCGTCCTCTGGGCAGGTGGGAAGGGCTGCCTGCTCTAAGGTCCTGGGACAGGGTCTAGTTTGCTGATGCTCAGGTGCCATGGGAATGACAAGGGAAGGCTTCCCCTGTGTTCCTCAAGGCTGAGGGTTCAGAGGCCAACCCTACCGCCAAACAAGCTGGCTCACCCGCAGGCAGAGGTCACTGGGCCCTGCACACTTGCTCACACTCACCTTCAATGGTGTCCCACTGAAGTCTCTCCGCAGCTCTTCCAGCAGGGCCGCAGCCTTCCCACCACTCTCAGGGTGATGCAGCTGCACCCAGGTCCGGAGCTCGCTGGGCAGGATGCTCAGGAACTGCTCCAGCACCAGCAGCTCCAGGATCTGGGCCTTAGACAGAATGTCGGGCCTCAGCCACCAGCGGCACAGCTCCCGGAGCCGGCTCAGAGTCTCCAGGGGCCCAGAAGATTCGTGGTAGCGAAGCTGTCTGAAGAGCTGGCGGAACAGCTCCTGGCCAGGACGGTTCAGCGTCTGGGGCCTAGGAGCCTGCACAGAAGTGCAGCCTTCACCCTCTTCTTCCTTCTTTACCATCTGAAGGCGCCCTCGCTCTCTTGAAGCCTGGGCCTGAGCTGGGCGCACAGCATACCACCTGCCTGGAGGCATCGCTCCTGTCCAGGGTCTACAGCAGAGTGCAAGCCAAGCCTCTGTCAGCTGTGCTGCTGCTGGGATGTCAGAGAATCTTTTCAGCACTGTGGTGGACAATGGAATTTGCTGGTCATCAGACGTCACTGGCAAGAGACTGAAATAACCAAAATTAGTGTTCGGGAGCAATGTGAATGGTGGTGGACCTTGACCCTGTTAGTTTGGATCATCTTTGGATGTATCAGAAGAGGCCCATGAGCATCTGCACAGTGGCGCCTGCCAGTCTCATTTCGGGGTAAACTGAGAAAACATCTGAGAACACAGGAAAATATGTACAGAGCTTTATTCAGATGTGTACATGTAAAGAAAGATCTCAATAATCTAATCTTCCATCTTTAAACACCGGAAAAAGAGCAGACTAAACCTAAAGCAAGCAGAAGGAATGAAATAGTCAAGAATACAGTGGAAATCAATGAAACAGACATTAGAAAAAGAGAAAAATCAATGAAATAAAAAGTTGGTTCACTGAAAAGGTCAACAAAACTGATAAACCTTTAGCTAGCCTGACAAAGAACGAGAGAACTCAAATTACATAAATCAGAAATGAAAGAGGGAACATACTACCGACTTTACATAAATAAAAAGAATCACTTGAAAATATATTTTTGCAAACAAATATTTTAGATGAAATTGACAAACTATTATAAAACATAAACTGATGAAACTGACTAGAAAAGAAACACAAAATTTGACTAGATCTATAAGAAGCAAAGAGACTGAACGGGTAGTCAAAAACTGCCCACAAAGAAAAGCTGAGGCCCAGGTGGCGTCACTGCTGAAGTCTGCCAAATATTTAAAGGAAAAATAGTATTAATTCTTCACAAATGCTTCAGAAATACAGGAGGAAACACTTCCCAATTCATGCTACAAGACCAGTATTATCTTGATACCAAAACCAGACAGATCAATCTCTCTTATAAATACAAATACAAAATTCTCAACAAAATACTAGCAAACTGACTCCATTCACATTTAAGAAAAGTTACACCCCATGACCTGAGTGAGATTTATTCTAGGAATGCAAGATTAGTTTAACATATCAGTAGAATAAAAAACAAAGATCACACCATCATGTCAACAGGCACAGGAAAAGCACTTAGGCACCAGGAATTTCACTTCTGGGACTCTCCCTGGAAAAACACTCGCACACGTATACAGCCATTTACACAGGTGTTCACTAGAGTGCTGTTTGTAGTAACGCAACATTGGAAATAACCTACTTTCCATCAGCACAGCTAAATAGAAGTGTAGCACTTTCTAGATGAAATACCATACAACAGTGAAAAAGTCCTACCAGACCCTTAAGATCAACATCGTTCCTCTGTTCCCTGGATGGTCAGGCTGTGCGGCCAAGGTTAAAAAGCAGGTGTTACCCACAGAGGAGGCCAGAGCATGATATTAAGTTGTTGAGAACAGAAAACATATATGCCAGGCTCAAGAGGCACAGTGCGTACTTACAGCAAGAGGGAGGAAAGAGTATACACAAGGGGATCTTTGAAAGCCACTGGTCCCCCACGAGCGGATCCACTTCACCGCTGATGCGGTGCGGGCGGTGTGGACTGGAGCGGCATACTTCAAGACCTCGACCCCTGGCAGGTGGGGTCTGAAACACAGAAAGCAGGGGTGGGCCTGCGGGCCCCTGACACAGGGTTACCTGAAGCACCGAACAGGGAAAGACAGTCCCTCACAAGGCAGAAGCCCAGCACAGGCTGCGCGCTTCCTCTCCCGGCCAGGAAACGCTCCCTGCCCCAGCCACTCACCTTGCACTGGGCTAAGCAAAGGGGAGCTGCAGAGGCTGTGCTCGCTGCCTCTCCCAACAGTAACAAAAACATATTCTAAGTTAAAAACAACACACTAGATATAATTGCAGGAAAAACCTAAAATCACATATATGTGTACATAAGTGTGTGTGTGATGTACACATAAGTTCTCCAAGGAATTTAAAATGGCCTGGGAGGATTCTCAAAAGCTGATTGTGGGCATGGAGGCTGGGAATAGTAGTTAAAAGAGATTTTATTTTATCCGTAGTAATGTGATGTTTTAACACGAAATTCATGTACCAGGTCTCTCATTTCTTTTTTTATTGAGGTACACAAACGATAAATAAAAATACACACAAATGTTAGACATGGTTACCCATGTGCTATTTCTCTTCATACATTTTATACTCTTATATTTTTTGTCATTTTCTTTACATTTTTGTCACTTCCCAATTTCCTAAAATAAAAATTAAAAGGCAAGTTTTAGAAATTATAGTTATGAATTCACTTAATCATGACACGAAATAAAAAGAAAGCACAGTCTGCATATGCACAAGAAGTCCCTAAGCCCCTGCACCACACTGTTCTCAGCCAGCGTCTCCTGTGGCGGGGGGATGTGGGGCATTCCCTTCCTGTTTACTTATGTCTCCTGAAATGTTCCTCACTATTTTTATAACCAGCAAAGGGACCAATAATTCTGCTTAAAATACAGAGCAAATGAGTATCAGCTCCCTGGACTGAAGAGACCCAGCAAAAGGGGCAGCACATCCTTAAAGGGAACTTGGGTGCAAACAGTGGCTGTGGCTCAGGCAATTGGGGAAAAAAGGAAAAAACCCAGGTGACTTTACTTCTGTTTTAACCATGGAGTCAGGAACCAAATCAGAGAAGGCTGGCTGAGCAAAGGGAGCAACGTAAGGCAAACTCTGGAAGTGAGGCACAGAAGCAAAGAAGCAAAAGGCTGCCCCCAAACCCAGTGTGCAAGAGAAAACAAACAGGCAGAGAACAGGCTGGCGGTTACCAGAGGGGCAGAGGCAGGG